TATATATTTCTTTATTATAATATCTAAAATATAAATATCTTTATATATTTTTATTAATTTAATAAATACTTAAGTTCTTTTTTATAAATAATTTATTAAAATAATATAAAAAATAATTATATTATTTACTTATCCTTTTTTATTAATAATTTAATATTAGGCTTTTTTTAAAATACTTAAAAAAGATATAACCCTTTTTATAATAATAATAATAATATATAAGCTTATTTAACTTTTTATAATTTTATTAAAATTTTCTTTTTTTAATTTATAGTTTTTTATAAGAAAATCTTATAAGTTTTATTATTAAGGAAAATAATAAAGTTAAATTTTAATTATATATTAAGCCTTCTTCTTTCTTTAAAGGCTTTTTTCTTATTAAATACTTATTATTTTAACCTTTTTTAACCTAATTTCTTATATATATATTATTATTAAAATAACCTCTTTTTATATTTTTAAGTTTTTATTAGCTTAAGTAATTATATATTATTATAATTATAATTATAATTTAATTAAATATTATTATATTCTTTTAGATTTAAATAAAATTAATAGTTTCTTTTTAAGAATATTAAGGTATAAGTAAAATTTTATTAAATATTATTTAAAGTACTAATAAACTAACTTAAATATTATAATAATATTTATTTTTAAGTTTATAAAGTTTTTAAGTAAGTTTTTATTTTATTTTAAAAAATATTTTTAATTTTATAAATAAAATAATTACTTAATTATTAAACTATTTTTAATATACTAATCTTAATAAGTATAATTATTTATATTTATATACTTTTAAGTATAAATAATTTATATTATTTTTTTTAAATTTTTAAAAATTAATTATAAAAGTTTATTATAAATTCTATTTTTATTAATTATAAACTTAAAAATTATAATTATTTAATTCTTTTATAATATTTTTAATATAGAGTTTATATTAATATAAATACTTTTTATTACTTTTATTAAAAAAATAGTATTTTTTATTATTTATTTTTTATAGCTTTTAAAACTCTTTTTTAAGGGCTTTTTTTTATTTTACTTAATAAATTTTTTATTAAAGATTTTATTTTTTTTATTTATAAAAAGGAATTTACTTTTATACCTTTATTAAATAAGCTTATTTACTTTATTAAGAGTATTATTTTTTACTTATAAGTAAGGTTTAAAATTAAGGGTAAATTAATATTACTTTTTTAAAAATCTTCTTTAACTTAAATCTTTAAAGTTAATTAGTTCTTAAATTTATTTTTTTAATAATTAATTTATTTTTTAAGTAACTTAAGGGAAAAGCTTTAAAATTATAATAATATAAAATAAACTAAATAAAAAAAAAAGATTATTAAAATAAAAAAGAAGAAAAAGTATATTTTATAAATTCTTAAAATTAAAGCTTAATTAGTTTTATCTTTTTAATATTATTTTTTTTATATATATATTTTATAACTAAGGTTATAACTTAACTTTAATTTTTTATTAAATAAATATTAAGTTTTTTTTAAAGTTTTATTTTTTATTTTTAGTTAAATAAAGCCTTTTTTATTAATTACTAAGTTAATAATTTAACTTTAAATTATTATTAAGTTATAATTAATTTAATAATAAATATATTACTTAGTAGATTTATTTCTTTAAATATATAAATTTATTAAGTTATAATTAACTTAACTATTTTTATTATACTTATAATATTATCTTTAAATTATAATTAATTCTTTACCTTTTTATAATCTACTTATATTTATTAGTAATAATATAAGTTAGGTATTATAGATAATAATAAGCTATTAGTATTAAAGTTAATAGAATTAGCTAAATTAGGTAAGTCTAAAGGAGTATATAAATTATAGTATATATATATATATATAAATAGAGGTACTATACTAGTATAAGGTAGGTAGGGTATTATATATTCTTATATATCTAGTAAAATATAGCTATATACTTAATAATACTCTTTTAATAAAGTTTAAATTAAATAAGTATAATAACTAGTTTATTAGTTTAACTTTATTCTTTACTATTTATTTAATTAGTTATTTTTATATATAATTAGTTATATAAGTTAAAGTATTATCTTAGATAAATATAAAATTAAGTTTTATAATAGTTTTTAAATTATCTTAAAAGTAATTTAATATATAATAACTTATTATATTATTATATCTTAAGCTTAGGTTTTTAATTATTAGCTATAATATAATATATTTATTAAGTATAAATATATCTTAAAATATTTAAAAATAATATATTAATTTAGTTTATAGTTAAATATTTTATAATTTTATTTTATTCTTTTTAAAGTTATTAGTATAAATATAATAATTTATATAAGATAAAGTATATTTATATACTTATTAGTAATTAATATATTATTATTTTTTACTTTTATTATATTAAATAGTTATTTTATTAAAAAAAATTCTAATAAACTTAAAATAAAACTAAGTAATTATAATAATATAAGATAAGCTAGGTAAAAAAATAAGATTATTAAAATAAAAAGGGAAAAAAAGTATATTCTATAAACTTTTAAGACTAAAGCTTAATAAACTTTATCTTTTTAGTATTATCTTCTTTATATATATTCTTTTATAACTAAGATTATAACTTAACTTTAACTTTTTATTAAACTAGTATTAAGTCTTTTTTAAGACTTTATTCTTTATTCTTAGTTAAATAAAGTCTTTTTTATTAATTACTAAGTTAGTAACTTAATTTTAAATTATTATTAAGTTATAATTAATTTAATAATAAATATATTATTTAGTAGATTTATTTTCTTAAGTATATAAATTTATTAAATTATAATTAACTTAACTATTTTTATTATACTTATAATATTATCTTTAAATTATAGTTAATTCTCTACCCCTTTATAATCTATTTATATTTATTATTAATAATATAAGTTAGGTATTATAGTAATTAATATATCTTTTAGTAAAAGCTAAGTATTTTTTAGTATATTTTAGTATTAGTTTTAAGTATTAGAATATATAATAATATTTAATACTTTAAGACCTTAACTATTATCTTAAAGTAAATAATATATAAGATAATAATATATCTTTTAAAAGCTTAAAATTTATAATAAAAGGGCTTTTTTATATAAAAATAAATATATATTCTTTTTTACTTTTTAATAATTATAAAGGGATAACTAAAGTATAATAAAGATTTAGCTAAATTCTAATAATTATAATATTTTATTATATTATATATTATTTTTAGAGGAACTCCTTTTTTAAATAAGATTATATAGGCTAAAATACTATAACTATATACTATATAAATCCTTATTTATTTATAAGGACTTTATTTAACTTTAGGAGTTAAAGGAGGTATTTTTATTAAGTTATAGTAATTATAAAAAGGTATATTATTTTAAAGTTTAAATATATTATATTTAATATATTAGTTAAATTTAACTACTTTTAGGGTTTACTTATAAGAATTAGTATAAAAAGATAATATCCTTTTATAGTTTTTAATAATAACTTTTTTACCTTTTTTATATTTAATTTTTATTATTTATTTTAAAATTAAGAGCCTTATATAGTTTTTTTTAGTCTTTAATAATATCTTTACTTAATATAAAACCTTTAATAATTTAATAAGTAATTATATTACTAATTATTTAAGCCCTTAATTATTATTATTATTAATTTACTCCTATTATCTTATAGGATATTAAGTATCTTTATAATTTTAATAGTATAAGAAAAACTATTATTATTAAAGCGCCTTACTATACTTATATTATACTTAACTTAAATAAAAACCTATACTTTATACTTATTTATATTAATATTTTTACTTCTAGTAAGTATTAATAGTTACTATATAATAATTTTCTAATAATAAGTCCTTAAGCTATATCTTTAATATATATATATACTATTTTTACTTTTATCTTTACTTTCTAAAAATACTTATACTATTAAATATATTAATTTTACCTTTTTACTATATATATATCTAAGTCTCCCCTAAGTTCTTAACTCTTTTACCTATAATAGTTATATATAATTTTATATTATTACTATAATAGTTATTATAGTATAATAGTTAGTATATACCTAATAATATTTTTACTAACCTAGACCCTATAGTTACCCTAATCTATACCCTATTTAATCCCTTATAGTATTACTCGCTTTTAGTATACTAGGCTTTTAGGAAGAAATAGAGAATTAAAAAGGGGTGCCTCTAGCTAAATTTAAACTAGTAATCTATATACTAACCTATATAGAACTCCCTAGTATAGAACTACTATACTATAGAGGTAGGTTAAGCCCTTAATTAATATTATACTTTTTTACTTTATAATACTCCTAATTAGGAGTTAATAATTACTTTATATATATATAATACCCTTAAAGGGACTATATTTTTATTAGTATTATAAACTAGTCTAATAGCCTTATAAGTAGTAGTAAATACTTTATATATTTTAGCTATTTTCTCCCTTAGTAATAATTATATTAAGTAGGTTTTTTTTATAATACTTTTAGGTAGGTACTATAGTTAGTGGATTTCTGAAGGTACCTAGGTACCTAAGTACCTCTATTTTTCTGCCTATCTATTATAATATATACTCGCCGCTACTGTTACTGCCTCCTCGTAGTGGCTCTTAACGCTTACTAATTTAATTAAAAACGCATTTTTATATTATTACCTTTTTAAGCTTATAGTAGCCACTTTTTCTAGCCTATTTTACTAGTTAGTAGTAGTAGTATTATATCTATATAAATAATAAAATTAATCTATACGAATAGTAATACTCTTTTTTTTCACGCTATAAATAACTAAGGGCGAATACTCGTAATATAAACTAAATATATAATATATTAACTAATAACTAATAATAAATAAAAAGAAATAGTAACTTAATAACTAGGTAGAAGTAGTATGAGAATTTGACGCCTATGATTACCTACACACCTAGTCTGGGTGGGTGCAAAAAGATAATACGGTCCGGCGGTGGAGACATATGCTCCCAGCAGGGATTGAACCTGCGACCTTCGCATCACCAAAGACGGAATGTGGTCCATATTAGTACGACGCTCTAACCAACTGAGCTATGGAAGCCGTGGCGTATTACTGGTAAATTAACTGAAGTTTTTCAATACATAGAGGTATAATTCAATAGCAATTGGTTGTTTCGTATGTGGTGGTGGGTGTTTGGTGGGGGAGATGTGGGAGGAGTACCTATTTGGCAGGTGTACAAACGCAGAAACCAAACGCAGGAGGGGAGCCCGTGGAGCGGGTGATAGGGCCTGGCTCTTGCCAGTCGTGCGGGTGTACGAAGTAGATGTCACTGGTTGTGTGAATCGATGGGCGAGCTGCTCTATTGGTCACTACAGCCAAGCTGACTATGAGCCAGCGAGGGCAGTGAGAAGCACAGGCAGGTCAACAAGGCAGCAGAGCCATGATTATTAGTCAATGCAAACAAACAGTCTCACACATGCTTCCGAATACCGCAACCTTTCTGTACCGATAGTCACAGACAATGCTAGACCAATTGAGTTCCTTATCACCAAGTTTCGGGTAGGGGCCGACGGAATGCTAGACACAGCCTTCCCGCGTGGTCGATGCCGACCTTCTTGCATTCTAGACTTAGATACTAGAATGTCACAAGTTAAATACCGTAAAGACTGTAGAAAATGCCGAACAAAACTTCATTCTAAAACGCGTCGCATATGCTTTAAGGGCACTGTCGCTCTACGTCAGCGATGCCGTATTATGTCAGCATTCTTCATATACGATATCCACCAGAAGCAGACTTCGCTCAAGCACCAGACAATGCTATTGCCGCCGATATGTCTGGTGACGTATCACCAACGTCGATATTCAGCCTGAATGCGCTGTTTGACAACCCGCTCTTTGCGGGCGGTATTGGTCTGGCGTCGCTCGGCGCCGCGGCCGCCTTTGCCAGAAAAGGCGTTATAGTCGCGGTCGGAGCAGCACGCCGGCGATTGCTGGTCAATGTCGAAATCAGCAAGCAGGATCCCGCATACCCCTGGATTCTCGCGTGGCTGTCGACGCCTCGGCCGACACAAGGCTTCATTGCGTCCCGCCTGACGCGCATCCACAACCTCTCCGTGACGACGGCAACGGCGTCCAAAGGGCCGGCGGTTGGCGGGCCGCCCAGCGCGCACTTTTTTATGCAGCCTGGTTACGGCAGACACGTCGTCAAGTTTCGCAACGCATTCATTGCGGTCAATCGTGAAAAACACAACACGGCCAATATGAATACGGGGGAGCCTCACGAGATTGTACAGTTGACGACGCTGTGGGCACATCGACACATTTTTGAACAAGTGTTTAGCGAGGCGCATACGCTCGCAGCCAAGGCCACTGAAGGTAAAACCTTGGTCTACTCGGCACGAGGCATGGAATGGGCGCCTCTCGGAGAACCGCGAAAGAAACGACCACTCGAATCAGTAATACTGGACGAAGGGGTCAAGGATAGCATCGTGGGTGATGTAAAAGACTTTTTGTCACGGCAGCAGTGGTATGTGGACCGTGGCATCCCCTATAGACGAGGCTACCTGTTGTTTGGGCCGCCGGGTAGCGGCAAGAGCTCCTTCATCCAGTCCCTTGCTGGCGAGCTGGACTTTGGCGTTGCCATGATTAATCTGAGCGAAATGGGCATGACGGATGACAAGCTGGCGTACTTGCTGACCAAGCTGCCCAAGCGCACCCTGCTATTGCTGGAAGATGCTGATGCGGCGTTCACAAACCGACGACAGCGCGATGCAGATGGCTATAGCGGTGCTAGCGTAACATTTTCCGGTCTGCTGAATGCACTCGACGGCATTGCAGCTGGCGAGGAACGACTGGCTTTTCTGACGACCAACCACATCGACCGGCTTGACCCTGCCTTGATTCGCCCGGGTCGTGTCGATATGATGACGAGAATCGGCGAGGCAACCCGCTACCAGGCCAGCAAGATGTGGGATCGATTCTACGGCGATGTGGACGAGGACCACACGAGCAGAGAACTTTTCCTGAGGCGTTTGAATGAGCTGGGCCTATTTGGACAAAACCCCGACGGCGGACCGTCACACAGACACACGAGCACGGCTGCCATCCAGGGTCTTTTCCTGTTCAACAAGAATGATATGCACGGAGCAATCAACATGGCTGAGGGTCTCGTGCCGCGAAAATTTGAGGTCTCAGACGATGTACCAGAGGGAGCGATGAAGACTTCTGCATGAGCAAATGTGCATTGTCATGTATAATAGTATTCGAGGATACCCACTGTAGAGAACGAGGGTCTCTGCATCCATCATTATATCTCGATAGCAGTATCTGCGTGTTCGTGGCGTGTTGACTGTGTCTGTCGCGTCTAATACAACTGCTAATAATGTGCGCGTGTTTGCTGTAAATAGTTTCGGCAGCGCTCGGGAAGATTTATCCGCAATTTTGATTCAAGGGTCCAGGGAGCGCATGGTGAGACAAATGTCGAAGTTACATATGTAGTTAACTAGGTACATAGTTAGATAATAACTATGGGATCGCTAGGACCACAATGCCAATGTGCGCCTCGGGAAGTTGCGAGACGCTAACTCGTGGGTCGATGGCACCATAATGAGGGCTTGCACCAAAAAGGAGCTGAAAGAGGTTGGTATGATTTACGATGAGGCAGTGAATCATGGTTCGAGAATCGCAATACACTCGATATTAATCCGTAGTTCTTAAGTAACCGTTGCTCATGACAAACACGACCGAACACGACTCGGAGACCTCAGACCGCTACTGACGATCTGCCCGGCTGAGATATCTCTACCTAGCGCGCCCCAGATTTGGAACGGCGACTAAGCTATGTGCTGTTGGCAACTGAGCGCATGCTAGTGCACACAGCCATGGAATGAATCGTTTTCGACAGCTGCTTTTGCTGTCCATTGTTCTCACCTACCTTGACAATTTTTCTTCTTCTCCAAGCTTTTCATAAGGCCCATTGTTTCGGGGTTCCTCGGCGAGTAAGGGACACCTATAATAAAGGAGTATCCTAACCTGCTTCGTACGCTAATAAAGTAAGTCTAGATGGAACAAGGTACATGGATTGCTGGACAAATAGGCTACAGCAGCCGACAGGTTTCTTGTGGATCTCGGCCGTGACGTGATCGAGGCGGCTCTTATTGACTCCTCTCCGCCAGTCTGCCAAGGCTAAAATCCTAAATCCAGACTGGAAGATCCACGTCAATTGCCATCCGTAGTTTAGCGTCTTGCTTTTCCCAAGTGCCATGATACCTGGGCCTGCACATGCACTGCGTTTTGCGCGGCGCAGTCACCGAGCCGTCGCTCGACCAAACCCTACGTCGTCCCTACATACCCTCCCCCCTCTCGTGCCTTTTCTCCCCCCTTCTTGCACGCGGTAGTCTTCAATCTTGCTCTACTGTCACTATTACACTGCCTGTTCTGTCACACGCCCTTCGCGACACGAGGCGACAGAGCCGCTCGCCATGCCGAATCCACCATCATTCTCGGTCGAGGGCCTGCAGAAGCATGACCTCGCCGCAGCGTCTCGTCAAGACCACGAGATTGACTCCGAGTATGTCCCCGGCTGGAATAGCACCGATGCCAGCAGCTCACAGGCCATTGACCCCGATTCGGGCGTAAAGCGCGGCCTTAAGAATCGCCATCTTTCCATGATGGCCCTCGCCGGCATTATCGGCCCTGGTCTTCTCGTAGGCGCTGGTGGTGCGCTCAATAGTGGTGGCCCTGCGTCGCTGATCATTGGATTTGGCGTGATTGGTAAGTCCAGTCCGGTCCTGTCGGTCAACATGCTCCGTGAGCTAACGGCTGCAGGCTTCATTGCCTTTGCCATCATGCAGTCCTTAGGTGAGCTTACTACGCTCTACCCAGGAGGTGGTTCATTTGTCTCGCTCGCTGAGCGCCTTGTCGACAAGCCATTCTCCACCGCCGTTGGCTGGAATTACTTCATCATATGGGCGGCCGTCCTCGCCAACGAATACAACGTCATATGCAGCATCTTAGTGTATTGGGCGCCAAAGGTCCCGCTCTGGGGCTTTTTCCTGATTTTCTGGACTGTTTTCCTCGGTTTCCAGCTCCTCGGTATTGAGGCCTTTGGCGAGGCAGAATTCTGGCTAGCTCTTTTAAAGCTGCTCGGCCTGACCGCCTACTTTATCTTTTCCATTGTCTATGCCTCTGGTGGCCTTGTTGGCCAAAAATCTGCTTTGGGTTTCCACTACTGGAACGATCCAGGCGCATTCAATGGCAATGGCTTCCGTGGTGTCGCTAAAGTCTTCATCTTTTGCTCTACTTTTTATGCCGGGGTAGAGTCTGTGGCTGTTGCTGCTACCGAAACCAGAAACCCTGGCACTGCGGTGCCCCAGGCCATCAGACAGGTCTTTTGGCGCATCATTTTTGTCTACATGGGATCTGCGCTCTTCTTCGGTATCACCTGCCCTGCCAACGCAGAAGGGTTAGTCGGCGGTGGCGCCAAGGCATTACAGAGCCCTATGACAATTGCCATTCAAACTGCTGGGTGGGAAGGTGGTGTCCATCTGATCAATGCCTTTATTCTCATTACTTGCATCTCTGCAATCAACTCGTCCATCTACATTGGCTCTCGGACCATTCTGTACATGGCTCAGTCCGGCAAGGCACCGCGCTTTCTCGGCAGAGTCAACAAGATGGGTGTTCCTGTATGGGCTATCTTTCTCACCAACGCAGTCGGTGCCATTTCCATGATGAATATATCCACCGGCGCCGCGAAGGCCTATTCATACATTGTCAACCTTTCCGGCGTTAGCACGTTCCTGGTATGGGGCAGCATCAGTTTCATGCATATTCGGTTCCGCCGTGCTTGGACAACACAGAAACGCGACCTGGTCGAGCTTCCGTTCAGAAGCTTAGGGTACCCCTTTGTTGCCTACTTTGGTCTTGCAGCCAACATTTTCCTCTCCTTGGTTCAGGGTTGGACAACGTTTTCGCCGTTCTCCGCAGCTGATTTTGTCGACGCGTACATTCTCCTACCGTTGTTCGGTGTCATTTACGTAGTTTGCAGGCTTGTCTGGAGAGAAGACAAATTTAAGAGGAGCTGGGAGATTGATCTCGAT